CAACACAAAGATTAGGTTTGAAGTGACGCGTGAAAAGTTTCCTTCTTCTTTCAGAATTTACTTCAACTCGAACACATCCAATACGAAATCTATGAGTTCGATTTGAGATTCCTCACTTCAAATTGTAATCAACAGTATATCAGTGGTCAGTTTGGTCATTTTAAACTTTAGTTGAGTTGAGAAAAGATCAACTCTTCTACTTTATGGAAAATCAAGAATAAGCAGATAATATTCATAGTATCAATGACATCTTTTTTCTCACCGGTTTTAGTGGAGGGTAGTGATGGCATGGGATTTCCGCCAATCGCGAAAACCGGTTTGTCTTCTGGAAATGAATAAAGTGTATGTTTTTTTAACTTCCCATCTACCTCAGAGAATAAATGCTACATTGGGCAAAGTTACAACGCTAAAATATGTCATAACCGGTATTTCTGTTTGCATTAGTCAGGACACAGTTTTCGAAAATCTGAGAACTAGCTCGTTCAACGTGATCGGAATTATGGAGGCTTCTGTTGTTCTTCAGTGTGCTTTCCACAATGGGCTTTTTAGTTAACCTCAAAGATGCATAGCCGTATATTGAGTGCTCTGACGACTGCTTGTTGTTGCACCCAGACGATACCCCCGTTTCAACCAGATAACATGAATTTAGTTGTTGTCACTGTCTTCAAACACCAGCGTACATACATTTTAGTCAGTCAGCGAAGTCAAGCTAAGTTCTATGCACCCAAGAGGATACATTTTCACTAAAACGACAAATACGGATGCTACAGTATCGGGCAAATGATCAAAATCATTTAGACTGATCTTCCTCTCCTAGATACCAGACAAACAACACAGTTTTCTTCTGTCAGGGGTTCACCAAAGCAGCTGTCATTCGATATTCTCAGCCCAAGCTATGTAGAAATGGATTTTGGAGCCGGCCATGTTTCAGACTGTCATGACTGGCATTCCTAATGGCATGTGCATGAAACCGCTGACTGCCCATTATCTTATGTCCCTTGGCGATTGATCTAATTGACGCTTTTCTATCCCTGATACATTATTATCTGCCTATAGTGTTGTATAACCTTGCATGACAATGTGTACAAGCAGTTGATTTACGGCATTTTAATTTATGATATTCTATTGAAGAGTAGTTTAGACTAGACATGCTCGAACTATGGAATAAGGAGGGACGTCAAGGGATTTCCAACTAGGCTTCATTAAAGCAGTTCATATAGAGTAACTTATATCATTCTTAGGACGTTTTCTGACCATTTGTTCCACTCTCTAGTTTCAAAGTCTAGAACATAGTCAGAATTGATACTCTATGAACAGCCCAACAGAACACATTTCAAATAAAAAAAGAGCGATGAAAAAGTTCGTTTTCAGTTATTCATAGTCATGCCAATACACCACAATATATATCGCGATGTTTATGTATGTACCAACCAGTATTCAACTATAACAACAAAACAATTGTTTTAGGAAAGGGACAATTAACATCATGGGTCATTTGAGGCTAATTTTGTCTTCGAACCGAACATGGAATTCTCAATGATCACATGATTGTTAGGTCACCCGATCTTTGGTTCTGTCGTCATCATTGAAGTTGGAAAAGCTGGAATACACCTTAGTTAATGCATGCTATCAACATCAGAGTGTGAAAGTAAAAACAAGAGAACTAGTGACATTGGAGTATCTCAAGTGACTAAGGGACTTACATAAACACACGAAAATCATGATATCCAAACCGGACCAAGGGGTAGGGACTGCTGATCAAAACACTGATGCAGAGCAAACTAACGTCCAGGGAGAGCACTGTCTGACCATTCAAGCTTATGTCATGAATGCTGTTCACATGAACGAATTTGTCTCGCACGCTGTGTTTTGAAAATCTAATTCTAACGGCATTTAGTAATTTATCTAGCCATTTTGCTAATGCATGGTATGGTGAATTACACATACGCAGAATCGGTCGAAGGGGTGCCCCCCTTTCTCTGCTTTCGATAGACCTACAGTCTGGGAACCATGATCTCAGTTGGCCGGATACGTTCAAAAGTGGTAGTTAGCAGCGACAACTCCATTGGGCTTTCAACATCTCAAGATCTTAGAAAACACGATCTCTGCTGAGCGGTCTTATCCTTTTCCATTGTTCTGGCGAATTTTTACCCGCCACTCAATATAGCTTCCACGTTCTCTGCATAATCCATTTGTTTTAGAAGCACTACCCCTACCCCTTTGTCCGGTTTGGATATCATGATTTCCGTGTGTTTATGTAAGTCCCTTAGTCACTTGAGATACTCCAATTATCAGGTTCAACCATCCATTGAAACTTGGTAGGAGAATCGCTCATAAGGAAGTTGTTTTTGAGGCATTCAGCCACCTGATTAAACATGTACCAACTCACAAATTATTAGCCAGTGGCCACTGTTCTTCAGTTCAGTTCATTTCCTATAGAAAACGGTCCCTGAAATAGTGCGACAAATATGTCTGATATCAGTTAATTAGATCACCAAAGCTCTTCCTGCCCAATTTCATTCACTAAACCAAGTTAGCCTCAAATAACAAAATTTCCATTGCTGGAAATTCGAGTTACCTATTGTGTGAGCTCTCATGTTCACTGTAACTTACGTCTTGTCAACAATTGGAGTAGTGCAGTCTGCCACAAATTAGACTGCTGTTGGAACTGCTGCACAACCAGTATTTTCATCATCAAATCGGGATCCGAGGTTTTCTCTGCGTAAAAATATAGTTGATTAAACATTACACTTTTCAGTTACATGGGACAAGTGCCTATTACTAACTGAGCTGAAACTGAAACACTTGCGTCATTTACGGGATTTTCCATTTGAAGTGAAGAAATATATATAAATTTTACTGTGCAACACTGTCTTCAGATATTAAATGTTGCTAAAATCAGTTTATTTTATTTGCCAGTATCTTTCTTCTAAATAGCGATCACTATCAAATACGGTAACTTTATCTACTCTGTGAAAGTATATTATCAAATCTGATGCAGTAATGTGCTTCTTTTGTGACATTCTGTGCATCCGTTAATCAGCTTCTTAGAATAATTAGCATTTGGTTCAACACGAGGGTAATCAGTCGGGAACACAAGCTTCATTATAATATCAAAAGTGAGTTAAATAAATGATGTTATTTTTTATTGCTTAAGGAAGTAGTAATGGTGAAAACAGTCGAAAAACTGACCTTGTGGCGGTGGATTGGGACGTTCAGGAGTGTTTGGCCTTCTTTGTTGTATCTAGAGGAAATCGACAAACGAGTCGTCATCCAGAATGTAATTATATAGAAGGCAAATTCATTTCACGAACGCTCATTTCTCATTCATTTTAACCGTTCTCTGTCAGCCAGCCGTTATGTGTTAGAATAATGTCCCCGAAACATACGTTACATTTTAGAAATTGAGGAGGTGTTCGATCGTACTACAAGGCTATAGATTACGGCTGCCGAATGTACCCAATGTATGCTGCTAACCTCGCTTTTTTAAGTAGAAGCAGATGATGCAGATCAGAAACATTGACGATCGTCCTGGTAACTCTCATTAATCGCTGTAAAAGCATGATCATATGATAGTGTCCGGTGAGACACTTTTAGGATCGGTACGGAAATAGAACATGAAACGAGTTGGTTTGTAATAATCCAGTGTAACAACTCACTGAGATAAAATCAAACAAGCCAAGTATAAACATAGCTAATCCAACTATCCGCAACCGACTCCTAGGACACCATAGAGGAAGTCTTCATTGAAAACCTTTCAGTTAACTCATGATGGTTATTTACTGAACCAAAACATGAACAATGCAACGGGTCACGTGCCTGCGATCAACTGGCAAAAAAGCAGCAGTTATGTACCAACCGCATGAACACTGCATGGTTTGGATGTTTCGGTCTGGAATGAAATCTGTAGCCTGAACAAAATATGACATAAAGTGAATGTATTCAATAAGGTCCGGCATTTGTTGATTTTAGGTTTCTAAACTAATCCGTCGAGTCATAATTTTGATGAAAAACAGTTAAACTGTTGAAAATTGCATTGCTCCATTCATTTCTCAAAAGGAACAACCATTCTTTTGTCTGACGTAAAATTGGGCGTTTTGGCTGTTTATGGATGTATCATAAACATTTATAGATGTTTTGATCAGCTCCCGTTGGTCAAGTGTGCATTGTCTCGAGTGCGACCTTCATTATCGTCGTCGGATTTGCACAGTTGATGAGACGCAACTATGTCAAATCACCTGTATCGTGCTTCCCAGATTTCCAGGTCACACTTTATTTCCTGCGTAGACGATGAAATCTGCCTTATGTTTGAATTTAATCCTCCACTACAATCAGTCCTGTTTGTAGACAAAATAAGAAGCAGCATCCATAGAATTGATTTGATTAGAATTTTTTTACGGAATCGGATGATGTTTCACCTTTTTTCCACCATCTGCAATGCCACAGAAACTGTTTCAAAGCTAAACTATATATTCATTGATCTATCCCCTCAGATTTCAGACTAGCTCCTGTATGAACTATTTATTGGCACGATGGATTTTGTGTTAGTACCTTGCTTCATCCCTCGAGTTTGCGAACGTGACAATCATTCGTACTCGGAAAACGTCCGTAAACAGGCGAACAGTTCGCCCGGTTTATTATTCCAATTACGTTACTTTTTCAAGAAGTAGGTTGACTGAGCGAGTAATATTTCAATGTCTCCAGTTTTGGTTTACTATTCTGAATGATAGCTTTCAATTTGCTTTCACTCGATAAAGATTTACGGTTGCTCTGGTGGTTTCGTAGGCTAACTTTATTAGAAAACCTCTTGATAGATCTCAATCCTTGCGTTGCACCGGTCCAAACTACTCATATGCATTTGATTGTGCTCACTATTCCCTTTCGTTCCACACCTTCCATTCTTATGTTTGTTCTGGCTGCGTGTATGCCTAACAGAACTCAACCCAAGAAAGTTGACGGAAATGAATTCAAACCGCCAGCAAACAACTGAGAAACGCTTCTAGGGGAATTGTTCTCTTCACGTGTATACCCATTTGGTCTTCCTTCTTGTACTTATTTAATGGTTTTACATTAGTCCGAAATCACTAACTGATCAAGCAACCTCTCCCACTTTCATGACTTTTCCATAGTTAGTAACTCGTTTTCTTATGGCTATGGTAACAACAGCGCTTGAAACAGATTACGTTGCTTGCACAACTCCGGCTTCCTGATCTTAACTGCTATAGATTCCGCAGTTGTTCTTAAGGTCAGTGAAGAAACTTGTTAATGCTGTTTCTGTGTCACTGTTCACTATCGACCGAATTTCGCAGGATTGGGCTGTTCACGCTTCTCACTGTTCCTTTTCGAAGAGCGGCCGGACAATGTTCAGATATTCACTTGGACAAACACTCGTTGTTTGTCCGATATACCGAGCACTAAAGTGCACGTGAACTAATATAGAATAAAAGATTGGGACTGTTGAGGCAATTTATCCTTAAGCTGTTGGACAATGAACGGCTTAGTCCCTAATGAGAGTCTTAAAGGCGCCGCGGGAAAGAAGTAGACAATGGCTTTAAATAGCCGATATTCCAAGATTTCTAATGCCCTGTTTCCCTTGAAAGGAACGTTGACAGACATCTCCTTCTTCCTAACCAGTTGTGTCTTTTACCCTTTGGTTTTGATTTCATATCGGACACACAACGAGGCTTCTGTCCAAGAGAATATCTGAACATTGTACGGCCGCTCTTCGAAAAGGAACAGTGAGAAGCTTGAACAGTCCAATCCTGCAAAATTTGGTCGACAGTGGACACACGATTGACACAGAAACAGCATTAACAAGTTTCTTCACTGCACCTAAGAACCACACCAAAGGATTAGATAAGAATATCCTAACAACTGCGGAATCTATAGCAATTAGGATCATGAAGTCGGAGTTGTGCAAGCAACGTAATCTGTTTCAAGCGCTGCTATTACCCTGGCCATAAGAACAACTGCCCATCTCTCTATGTGACACTTTCTGTACTCACCCCCCTCACTTCTCATTTACTGTCTTTTTTCGCACTCTTTCACACCTGCTTTATTCATTCTTTACTAAAACCTTTCATATCGTGTCCAATTCACACATTTTTATCCGGCCTTCCCGTATCCAATTATCGTGACCCCACAGCCTGTTGTGAACCAAACATCTTACATACAGACATTTATTCAAAATCAGCCTAGGTGTTATACTATTTTACTGATTAGTGGAACTGAATATGAAAATGCCTGAAGGGGTATATCAAAAAGAAGTTTCTTTGCGTTTCGTCTTTGGTCTTATGCATCAATGGGAATATTCTACGAACTCGGTTTCTACCACACGTTTCCAGGTATTTTGAATGCATTCTTCACACCACGGGTATCCGTGTACTCCTGCCTTCTATCCAATTCCGTTTAAATATTGTGCTCATAAAATTGGTACCTCGGAAACAATATTTTCACACCGTTTGTTTATTATTATATCAGATTAATTGAACCGGTGAACAGACTGAACAATCAGTTCTCAATATAACAAACTAACAGATAACTGAAATTGCCAAATTTGATAGAATAATGCGTGACCACCATGTTACACCTACTTTTATCGCCTCATATGCTGTCCTATATCTTCTTTCAGACTCCATTAATCGATAGAGCAATGTGGAATCAGCATTCTCAGTCCTTTGCGGCATCTGAATTTCATTCAGTCGCTTTGTGGACTTGGATAAGCAATAGTTACCGCTTACCTGCTGAACACTTGCTAATCGCTGATATACAAAATCATCAACCATTACGGAAGAGCTGGGGTACCACTGGACCGCAACTCTTGCACCAAAAACGCAGAACGACGTTGTTTGGGTGTACTGGTCTCGCGGCGGACCGCTTATTATCTACCTGGTGTACTCTAGTAATAGCAACCAATCGATTGACCTTAGTTGATCAATGGTTATTTTCACTACCGATTGGTCCACCTTGGTTTATTTATTCCATCGTGCTGGAGCTATCTCATATGACTGAGATGACCTCAGAACAAATATAAAGCCTTCACCATTTGAAACTGATTCGTTTAGGTTAATGGGGATTGTACTGGCATTTGGTTGGAAGAACACAGGAATTGAAATAATTCATTTGTAAAATATCTGTGGTAGAATTTAGGGATATTTTAATAAATGCAACTAAAACAATTCGAAAATCATAACCATAAATAGATCTTTTCTTGAAAAGGCTCATAGTCTTCAGGCAAAAATAAGAAGTTAGTATTGCAAACCGTGAAGAATCATTGGAATTAGAGATTGTGTCCGGTTGACAATTTTGTATCACGTGTTATGCAACTAAGCGAACAAAACAATCACAGAACTTTCAGCCTAATCAGGGGTGCACTATATGTACTGGGAAACGCTCAATGTACTACAATCAGTTTATTCAACGCTAGATCACAGAAACTAGGAGTAGATTCCTAATAGCCTGCATCCACCCGTTTGCAACTCAATTTTGAAATACCCAACACAGAAGGAAATAAACGGTTACAGACCGTTTATTGGTACCCGTTTCGCAATGCATTCGTGCACGTTCCTGTCTTTCGTTATCAACAAAAATCTTGGATAACCCTTCACATCCATTACATCAAGATCTTATCAAGTGTGTTTCCTCCTCTTCCACCCGGTCCCGTTATAAGTGTATATTTGCTCGTACGACCGCTTATCGGTCTTCTGTGGTGCCCTATCTTGCCCGATTTCTTGTCAGCGCAGAAAG